TTGGCCTTCAAAGGGTTTCTAAAATAAAAAGATCAAAACGAATGTAGTGATTATTTCAGAGCAGGAATAAAGGCGATAAAACTTGCTGAATTCAATCCTAAATGGAGAAAGGACAAAGCAAAACGTGTTAAGAATGGTCAGAAGACCAATAAGTCACCTGACAAGATAAGCAATCACAAACAAAAGGCACAGTCTTACAAAGAAGCAATTCAATTATTTCCCTTCGCTTGCAAACCAAAGCAATAGAGGGACTTAAGAATTTGCGACACAATCTTTGTAATTCTTGTGCTGATTTGTTACATTTTGAATTGGTCAGGACTAAGACTATTCCAAATGATCCCAGTTGAATACCCAGACACCAAAGAACTTACCATAAGAAGAAGACATAGATCAACAATCTGACTCCTTCTATAAAGTGCATATTGAGTTTCCACAAGGTGAATGAAAGATAGGAAAACTTTGCACCCATGGTCAAAAAAGGCAGCTATGTGAGCATGAAAAAGAGAACAGAAGGAGCGTTGAAGGACAGAGTGACAAACAACGATAATCTGAAGCTCAAGGAAAAAAGGAAATCCATAAAAAAGGCGAAGTCAATCAGAAGGAGTATAAGCAGCCAGATTTAAGCGATGGTAGTTCAACTGGATAAGGATGCTTTAAAGAAAGGTGTCCTCAGAACCATTCCATCACAAATTATCCAACCTGAAGTTGACATAGTGATTGAACAATCAATGAATGATGAAAATTCTATTGAACTGCCTAGCGATGATATCCAGAATCCTCCCATAGTGAAGGAGCTGATGGAAAGTATTCCGGAAAAGGACCTAACTCTAGAGTATCATATGGAAGAAAGCTTAGGTGAGGATTTAATGGCCACAGATCAACCGACATCTGAGTTAGTAGAGTATGACCTAGAAGTTCTTGATTTAGAAGTTTCAAGATCAAATTTGGAATTTCTATCAAAGTATTCAGAGGAGGATTGCGAGGCAGATTGCAATACCGTGACTTTACCAGTGGAGTTTAGAGCTCAAGTGGTAAAGCCTGGGACCAGTTCATGGGCAGATGAAGTGGATCAGGAAGAAGCTGCAGGTAAGTATAAACTCTCTACTATATCTGCTCAATTGAATAAAGCATCATCTAGTTAACCTAGTAGAGAAACAATAACACGTGATCAAGAACAGTTAGTCATTCGACATTTGTTAAGAAATTACAATGTTGATAATGCACATAACAAACCTCTTTTTGTGACTGTGAATTTTGAAGGGTTTGAACTAGAAAAAGTATTAGTTGATATAGGAGCCACAATAAATTCGATGCCTTTGTCTGTTTTCATAAGATTAGCAAAAACAAAAAAGATTTGGCTAATATAATTGATTAATATAGCTGGTTTCAATGGTAAGTCTAAACGTACTAAAGGTTTAGCATGTATTGAAATTCAAGTATGTACTACTAAGACTGTTTCAGCATTCTTTATAGTAAGAGGAGAATCATCTTGTAATTCTATCCTAGGTAGAGAATGCTTGCATCAAACGTATGATATTCCTTCTTCTTTACATCATAATATAATATTTTGGAATGGTGATGAATACGAAGTAGTTTGTGCTGATGTAGAGGCTTTTATGATTGATATTAACCAGACTTTCCCAGGATTCTTGTGAAGTTAACACCAAAGACAGATGAGATTGTACTCAAACTTGATTCCCAGTCAGTTCCTAAACTGAAGGTGGTGTCAAGTGCAATCGCCAAGATAGAAGAGGCAGATGCAGACGAAGATAAACACAATTCACTTGCGGAGTCTAGCTCTGAGTTTGGAGTACTCAAGATTGGATAATGTTTAGTATCTTTTCTTTGTACATTTGTAGTTTGAACAAATATTATGGATAATTACATAAAAAGCAGATCTGGTACTTTATTAGCTCTTCAAAATTTATATGCAAGTTATTACTCGCAACATGATATAGAGGTTAACACAAACATGGAGGCTCCTGAATGTCTATCTGACTACTCAAACTCTAATGACCATACCCGATCATCGCTAAATTCGGACAAAGAGTTCTATAGTGGAGAAGAGAATGAAAAGGTATGGTCTAAGAGTGAAGATATTAAACAAGGAAGTCCATGATCCTCTAGTAGAGGTCAATCTCGGAACTAATGATTGTCCTAGATTCACTATGTAAGTAAGGAATTACCCACAAAGGACAAGTCATTATTGATTGATATACTTCATAAATATAAGGATTGTTTTGCATGAGAGCATCACAAAATTCCTGGTATAGATCCTTCTATTATCGAGCATAGGCTTCCTATTAAACTTGGTTACATTCCCATAGTCCAGAATCCGAGACATTTATCGCCAGAGTTGATTCCTAGAATAAAGGAAGAGATGGGCAAACTCTTGGAGGCAGGATTCATACAACCCACCAAATATGCAGAGTGGATAGCTACATTGTTCCTGTAATTAAGATGAATGGAAAATTTAGGATATGCATAGATTATAGAGATATCAACAGTGCATCCCCAAAGGATCAATACCCCATGCCTGTAGCGGATATGTTGATAGATGTCTCATTAAGACATGAGTTTGTATCAACGCTAGATGGTTTTGATGGAAATCACCAAATAAGGATCGCTGAAGATGATCGCTTAAAGACAACATTTAGGTGCCTAGGCTCTTTGGGACTCTATGAGTATGTGGCGATGCCATTCGGACTTGAGAATGCAGGGGCAACGTATCAGAGAGCTATGAAATCTCATATTTGATGAAATTATTGGTGACTTTATGGAGGTTTACATTGACGATGTTTTGGTAAAATCCCATGACTTATCAAAGCATTTGGAACACCTCATTCTAGCGTTTGAAAGGATGAGGAAGTTCAATCTAAAGATGAACCCCCTTAAATGTGCTTTCAGGGTTAAAGACAATAAATTTTTGGGATTCCTAGTTCACAAGAACGGCACAGGGGTTGACCAAAACAAGGCTAAAGCAATCCTTGAAGCATCACCTCTGGCCCATAAAAAGGAACTCCAGAAGTTTCTGGGGCAAATTAATTATGTTCGAAGGTTTATCACTAACTTAGTTGGGAAAACAAAAGTTTTCTCTCCTCTTCTTAAACTTAAGCAAGGAGAAGAGTTCAAGTGGGAACGTGAACATCAAGAGGCCTTTGAACAGATGAAGAGGAAGCTGGCAACTCCACCAGTACTAATTCCTCTAAAACAAAATGGAAAGCCTTTGATGTTGTATCTTTCAGCTACCAAGGATTCAATTGCAAGCATGTTAACCCAAGAGAACGAAGAGGGTCATGAACAGGCAATTTTCTATTTAAGTAGAACCCTACATGATAATGAAACTAGATACACCAATGTTGAAAAATGGTGCTTGAGTTTGAATGATGCTTCCATCAAACTTAATCATTATTTTATGGATTTCCTGGTGGAGATTATTTCACCAACAGCTGTACTAAAATACTTATTGAATCACCCTTTCATCAAAGGAAGGTTATGTAAATAGAGTATGCATCTATCACAATTTGAACTGACTTATGTGCCTCAGAAGGCTGTTAAGGGACAAGCCTTGGTTAAATTTTTGGCTGACCATCCACCTATGGAGAATGTCATGGTCCAGGAGGAAAAATCATGGACAATGTTCTTTAATGGTTCTAGCAGGAGAAAGTTAGCTGGAGCCTGGTGTAGTGACTAAAATGGCGATCACTTTCTCAACTCAATGCACAAATAATAGAGCAGAGTTTGAAGCCTTAGTGATTGGTTTTAGGACTCTGAAAGACATGGGGGTTACAAAGGTTAAGCTGTTAGGAGATTCACAATGGGAGATAGCTCAAGTAAACAAAGAATACAAAGGAATATCACCTTTGGCGATGACCTTCTCATCTATCGTTCAAGAGTTAATTAATGCTTTTGAATTCATCCAAGTATCTCATATCCAAAGAGAAGAAAATAGAGAGGCTAACTTTTTGGCACAACAAGCTTCATCATTACTTGATTTTAAAGGTTTCGATGAATAAGTGATTCACATAAACACATACAAGTTGAAATCTTTAGATGAAAAAGTGAAGGCAGAAGTACATAAATACAGTATCCTCGCATAGGACATAGATTAGAGAAAGGAGATTAAAGAGTACTTAAAAGACCCCTCAAAAGGGAGGGTGCCAGCAAAAGTTAGGCTAGCAGCTACTAAATACTTTCTTATGGGAAGTAAGCTGTACAGAAAGGATCCTCAAGGCATTTTACTAAGGTGTGTTAGCACAAAGAAAGTGCCAACGATTTTAGCAGAGGTTCATCATGGAATTTGGGGGTCTCATCAAGCAGGAACAAAGATGAGGTGGTTAATCCATCACATAGGTTTTTATTAGCCTTCAGTTAGACAAGATTATTTGCAGTATGCAAAGGATTGTAAACACTGTCAACGCTTTAGACCAATAAGTAGGGCACCAACAATAGAGTTGCACCCCATTATTTAAACCTTGGCCTTTTAGAGGTTGGGCAATGGATGCAATAGAGCCTATTAAACCTCCCTCATCTTATCATCATGATTATATTCTGATAGCTACAAATTACTTCACAAAGTGGATTGAAGTCCGAGCTTTTAAAAACTTAAATACAAGGGTGGTGATCTTGTTCTTGGATGAGAAAAACTTTACAAGGTACAGGATTCCAGAATCTATAACTGTAGACCAAGCAACTATGTTTACAGGATACGAGTTCAATTCTATCTCAAGGAATTTGAAATCTAAAAGATTCATTCAACCCCTTACTTCGCTCAAGCCAATGAACAGGCCAAAGTCACTGATAAAGTAATCTCTAAAGGAATTGCTAAGATGGTGGATGAAAATCCTAAAAATTAGCATGTTCTTTTACACTATGCTACATGGGCATACAAAACATCAAAGAGAGATGCAATAGGGACTACTCCTTATCAATTAATGTATGGAATTAAACCTATTGTACCAGTAGAGTTAAGCGCTAAATCCACTAGGGTAGCTAAATAAATGGGGATAAGCCAAGCAGACTACCAGCAATCAATGTCCATTAAACTGATGGACGTTGAGGGTGAAAGACTCCAAGCGCTAGCTAAAATCGAAGCTCAGAAAAAACAAGTGGCAAAATCTTACAACAAAAAGGTGAAACATAAAATCTTTTTGGAAGGAGATTTGGTGTGGAAGATAAAACTTCCTGAGCATGACTACAATGACCACGTCTTTGGTAAATGGTCTTCTAAATGGGAAGGTCCATCTAGAGTTCACAAAGTCATGTCTGGGAACGCCTACTTATTGCAAGAGTTAGATGGGGGAATGTTTTCAAGGGTGCTTAATGGAAAGTTCCTAACACACGACAACCTAAGCATGTGGGAGCGGTATAAAAATTTACAACAGAAGCATCCATAGTTGGAAGCTTTTGACAGATAAAATGTATTGTTCACAGACGAAGGGACTTTTCAGCAATTACTTTACGTTTAACATCAGAAAGAAGAATCTTGCATTTGTTCATTAGCGCCATCTGTTCATTATGGCGATCAAATTAAGACAAAGTTTCTTGAATTATTGGATCACTCTCAGAAATCTGACGCTTCAATTGTTTCTTCTCTTTTCTTCAATCTTGAAGTTTTCATTCTACCATAGATCTCTTGGCCTGAAGCTTCTTCTCTTCTTCTATGGTTCCATCAATCTCAGTCCGCAGATGGTCCATTTCAACATCTATCTCCAGATATTTCTTCTTTAGAAGACCTCATTGTTGGAAAACTTAGGACACTTGTTGGGATATATCGGAAATCATTAAAGGGGGAAGAGATGATCTTTTCTTGACTAGTTCAATAGCACATGCTTGACAAGCAACAGATAGATCTTCCCATACAACTAGATCATTATTTCCCAATAGACGAACTTAAGTCATAAGTTCTAGAGATAGTTTAATCTGTGAACTTGGTGCTTCTTGCAACTCTACTCTCTCACAAAGAGTTAGGACTTCATCAAGAAGCTTGATCTCTAGAGATATAGTTGCTGCCTGCTAAGATACCTGTGTGTGAAAGGATTGGTGTCCTTCGAACAAGTGTATTATTCCGATAGAGGGTTCATAATTAATTACAGAGTTAATTATTCAGTGAAGTCAAGTGATCGGAAAGTTGGGCTAGAGGCCATCTCCGATTAGTAAGATTAATTATATTAATCTCACAACTTTCCTTCTACTGAACCCAACGGGTCATACCCAAGCTTGCAACCAAACTAAGGTGACAAATTAAGCCGGATGCCTTAATACGTCAAACAAGAGGATTCATACTCCGACATCGGATTCCGAGCTTAGAGCGTCAAAACCGAACGTCGAACGTTGAGTTAATATCTAGGAAATAACGAGACATACAAATAAGTCAAACAAAAAATTATAAAGTCAAAGTGCATAGCCCTAACCTCGTATCGGCCTAGCCATACGAGGGCTAGGCTAACACATGTTGTCGCAAGCACCAGCAGCTCGCAAGAGCGTGCGGGCTTGCGAGAGCAGCAGCATGGCGTGGCTAGCAAGCCCGCATGCTGGCAGCTCACAGCAAGCCTGCTAGCACAGCACGCCAGCAAGCTCACAGTGAGCTGTGGCCAGAGAGGCCTGCTAGCAAGCCCGGCATGGTAGCCGAGCAACGCACGGCAGCTCAGCAGCATGCGTGGGCTTGCGGTGCGTGCTGGCAGGCCTATGTCGAGCAGCGCACAAGAGCAGCCCAGCCGAGTGGGCTTGCAGTATGGCTAGCAAACCCAAGCCAAATCAAATGGCCTGGACCAGCCATACCTTGGTGCCCAAGGGTGTTGATCGGTCATGGGCTATTGTGATTAGTGGGTTTGGTGACTTGGGGAACAAGGAGGCCATGTGGCTCTCCCTGTGGTCCTCACCTAACCAATCCCATGTGATTGTCACTTGTTGCTTGACTATTTATTCTAGCTATTTAATTTATTTTTGAATTAAATTAAATACTAGCTTTCCTCAACTTTGCAAAAGTCCCACATTGATTGGAAATCAAGGGGATGGAGATGCTTCTCCTATAAATACCCAAGGCATCCCTTGGGAATTCTTTGCAAGATTTGAACTCTATAAAAGGCATCTCCATCGAGAAAACCTTAAAAAGAGATCCTCTTGTTTAGTAGTGTTAATATTGCCCTAGCCGGTAATATTAGCCAAGTTTGGGTGTGCGGGTGGACTACGTTGGAGGGGTCGCGTTTGAAGCTCTTTCTCCATTCGTAAGTTCATGTTCGTGCTAAGTGGAAAACACGCATCAAGGGTATGATCGTCTTTTCCTCTTTTTTTTCTCTCTCTCTCTCTTGTTATTATTAATTATGAGTTAGCATGCATGTTTAGTTGCTTTAATTTATGCATGGATCTTTGGGCGGGTTTTCTTTCTGCGCGGTGTCGGACACCGCAAAACCCAACAGCGGTATCAGAGCCGTGTGCATTTAATTATTGTGACTGATAATCAATTAAGGTGATTTAAATGGATTTAAATTTCTGGTTTTACTTTCTAATTAGATTAGAAGGTCGTTTTTAATTAGTTTAATCTCATATTTATGCTAATTTTGGCTAAAGAACCCCGATTTGGACCCAAAAATAGTTAATTTTGGGTTGAATTGACGTTCTAAATCGTTCTTTACCCATAAAGTATTTAAAAAACACGTTCCAGAGGCCAAAATCCACCCAAAAACATGTTTTTTGAGGGGTTTTTTGTTTTTGACGAAACATTTTAAATCTTTAAACCTTGATTAATTATGGCATGCAATTGTTGGATTATGTATTTGATTATACCAATAATCTACTGCAATTATAACTCTTACTAAGCATGTTTATGAAGTCATAATTGGTGCTTAATTTGGTGAGCTCGTTTTTCGCATAAACTTGCAATTTCACATTTTTGCAAAATAATTGCTTGGAGTGTGAATGTTTATGGTGAAAATGTATTTTTTTTTTGAAGCCCCTAAAATGTTAAAGATTCAATCTTTAATTTTTTTATTTGGTTGGATCTTAACTTTCTAAATTCCATAATGAACTAATTTTGGTTTTAATCATTTTTGAGTTGATTAAAATCTTAAATGTTCAAACTTGTATTTGGATTATTATTGTTCTTCATATTGGAAGATTACAATGTTCAAAATTTGCACAAGTTAGTGTTGAATAAATTTTTCATTGGATGATTGTGTTTATTTATTCAACTATTTTTTGTCAAATCTCATTATTAATTTATGTAAATTAATTGTGAGAAATAGCCCTCAATTTTTGTAGCATCAAGTTAAGGCAAAAATAACTTAAAGAATGGTTCTTGAATTAATTTTGGTTTGTGCGCTGAAATTGAATTTATTTAATTTGGACTTGTTTTATTTTCATTTTTTGCTCAATATTAGTTGTAAATATAATTTTGAATTAATTTTTCATGTCACACTAAAAATCGGAACAAAATCTGAGGAACAAGCACGCAAAACGAGGCATCAAGCCTCGAGCATAAACTCTCGACCAGCTGGGCTTCTTACCCAGCCCGTATGTGGCTGCCAAGAGTATCTGTCGTGCTTGTGCGCTAGTGTGTGCGAGCAGGCACCCCTTGGTGCAGCACTTGGTGCGGCATGGCCTTGTGTGTGGTGTGATGTACGGTTGCTAGGCAGCACCACCCCCACAGCAGCTGGGCCTGCACAGCCAGTGTAATACCCTGGAAATTTCCTTATTTTAAAATACTCCTTTTACTCTAAATAAAACCCTTTTTAGGAAATAACCAAAATATTACCGCTACCGTGATAATGGCTAAGGTTAATTTTCAAAGTCTCACAATGCAAGTCTAAAAAATAAAAACCAATTTAAAAATAAAACTTGAGTTCACAACCTCAAAACAAATGTAATATAAAACAATCACAAGTTGGAACCAATTCAAACATGGCCCTTCTTAAAAACCAATTACAAACAAACATAATATTGTTAGTCCATAAACAATAACCAATAATTCAAATTTATTAAAACTAAGAAACATAACAAGTAACTCTCTGCACTTTATCCAATCATTCTCTTCATGCTTCAAGTACCTGTTACTTCCTCTTTATTTCAACTCTCTACTCACCATAAAATGGGTCATAGTAGGGTCAATCCAAAGGAAAGTCAAACACAAACACAAAAGTACGAATCAGCAAAGCTGAGTACATATGCACCACACTCAAATGAATATCATAGCATCAAAACAGAAATAATTAAAACATGTTCGTCACACAATCACAAGTCAACTTACCTTTAGTTCATAACTAGCAATATTAATTATTAATTATAATTTTGGATTACGCATCGAATGGGTTTCCTTCCTTGAAAATAGCCCATTTAAATATTGAGCTTCCAATCAGGGAGCTATCCCAATTGGCACCTACTATGTCACTTTGTAACGGAATTCCAGCACATTAATCATAAAAGAAAGTACAGCGTCCTGTACCTCTGTAGAAGCTATGGTTAAATATAAAACCCCATAACTCCCTCCATATGTTCATACTCAAGGTATATACGTTCCAAGAGTTTTGGTGCGTATCCTCTTACACTTTACGTGATTTACCAATGTAACTCGTGATGACTCAACCCAATCAATCAAGAACAAACATAATAACAATTAATACATACTTCCAATTCATTCTTGAATTAATTAGTAAGCACATACTATTTATTTTAATTAAGGTTTCTTGCCTAGTTTTGTGCACAAAATTGCACGATTACTACCTTGGTGCATAAAATTCACTACTAAACTTCCTTGACTCAAACTCAACTTACATGAGCGAGTAAATAAATAAACTAACTTCTTGACCCAACACCAATAATAAATGGGTGAGAAATAAATTCATGAATCATGCTCAATAATTCTAACTTTAGCTCTATAATTCATATATAAGCCTTGCTTATTAAATACATGTTTTCTTTATACTTGAAAATATAACATACTTCCATGATTCATACATACGCAACTTGTATCATGCTGCAAATAACATATTCACTTGCTTTCATAACAAATCATGCTCAACCAACATCAATTCCAAGTATATAATCAACCAAACATGCTACTAATTCATCACTTAAATCATACTTTACAAATCCTAGCATGATACTACGCACACACCAATATTCTTGTGCACATATGTGCCTTGAATAATGCCTAAACTCGGCCACACTCGGTAGAAATCACCTAGATTGACGCTTCCTACAAATAAGAATACATAACTATAATTAATCTACTCTTCTCACAAATTTCCGGCAACTATAATTTACTTTAAACCTTACTAATTAACCCAATTTAATGACATAAAAGCCATAAAACCTTTTCTTTAAGTGGGAACTTCAAATCCTTTCAAAAAGACTTAATTTTTATATTTAATGTAAAACATCTTTAATAGACTTAAAAATCATATTTAAATCATTAAAACCTTTTTCCCTTTTATGGGTAATCAAACCCTAACTCAATAATTAAAAAGTAGTGTGCATAGATAAATTTCGGCATTAATTTGAGGGCTTTAAACTCATTAAAAACTTGTTTAAAACATTAATTAAACAACAATAACAACAACCTAGGATCAAACCCTAACCATAAACATTAAATTCTCAAATCCTAGGGTTTGTAAATTGGGGTTTTTGATTGAATAAAAATCTGAAAATTATATAAATAATTTAACAACATCAAATCCCAAAATCAATACCAAAACATAATCAAAATCATGCTTTAATTTAATAAAAACAATACAATTAAATTAGGAAGAGAAAAATAGTTTTTTTTTTTAATAACACTACCAAACCGCAAAAGAGGAGAGGGAAGGAGGGGGTGGCGCACGGCGGTGCGCCGGCTACTGCTGCTGGCCACCGGTGGTTGCTGGTTGCTGCCAGTGTGAGGGGAGAAGAAGAGGGAGAGGGAGGCGTGGGGAAGAAAGAAAAGGAGGAGGAAAAAGAGAGGAAAAATAAGGAGAAAAAGGAGAGAGAAAATTAAAAGAAAACCTTTGAAATTTTTTGTGAAATCTGACAATTATGATTTTAGAGTGAAAAATCTTGAGGTTTTGAAATATTTATACTCTCCTTTTAAAACAAAAACTCATAATTACAAAACTATCATTTTTAAATCCTACTCCCCCTTGACTTCTTCCTTTGGGGCCAACCTGTTGGGCTCTTAAGTGTCCTCAATATCCCAACAAGTTGATCCAACTATTTAAATAAAGATGACCCAATTCAAAATACTTTTATTGCCTCAATTAATGACTCATATTATTTTATGCACTCACATAATATTAAAATAATTAATTTCTTTTAAAGATAAAATGAATCATTTTAGTTATAAAAATAAATAAAATTAATAATTTATATATATATATTATAAAAATACGGAGCATTATAGTCAGCACTAGAGTGCGTTGCAAGCACACTGCTATGGCCAGCATAACGCACGAGCAATGCTGTCAGCCACTAGCAAGTGGCTTGGCGCAGCTGTGGCTGTGCGGGGGTAGCACCCACGAATGGCAGTCGGGCTTGGGTGCCTAGTAAACCGGGCCTCTTGGCTTGGTGCTAAACACTCGGCCATTGTTGGGCTATTAATTTTGCGTTTTTTTATTAATTAAAACGAGGCTAGGCCTCGATTTTTCCGGGAATTTGCAAAATAATTTGGCAAATATTTGGGTTAATCGGCTTAATTAATTTTAATTAAATTAATTTTAATTAAGTTGGATGTGGAATTTAGTGGGAGCTTCATTAATCGTTTTGAGCTATTATTATTGCGTTGATTAACATAATCAAATAACAACTTTGACTAGTTTTAATTAGGCGTGTTAATTGGATTAACCACCTAAGTTAGTAACTAGTTTTGCACTCGTTTTGCATCGTTGCTTGAATTATTTGTAAAATGAATAGGTCATTCACGTTAGTGAATGGGTGAATGGAATAGATATACTAATGCAGGTTTTACAAAATGGCAACTAGTAGGGCCCAACTAGGATAGAAAATACAGACTGCGTTCCGTTATGTATTTTTGTAAATCTAAATACGAACTGTGTTTTGGTAAAGTATTTTTGTACTTAAATTATTTAGATTAGTCCTACCTTTTCTAGTAGTTTCATAATTGATGGTGATGTCTCGAAGACGTCGTTTCTAAGAAGACGAAGTCAAGATGATGCAATGAAGGCCCTTGAAGATTCGAAGATTCAAGTTTCAAGGGGTCATGCTAGTTGTCAAGACTACACGAAAAGAGCAAATTGGCAACGGTTCAAACCCCCCCAAAGGCAACGGTTTTGAACCGTTGCGTATTTGAGGGTTGCCAAATCCCAAAATAATTGGCAACGATTCAAAACCGTTGCCAACTCAAGCAAACCGTTGCCAATTGACCATGGACCCTTTTGTTTTTTAAAAAAAAGAAAAAATAATTGGCAACGGTTAACCGTTTCCAATTGCTTGAGTTGGAAACGGTTAACCGTTGCCAAATAAAATGGCGCGCTTTTTTTTTTTTTTTTAATATTGGCATCGGTTAACCGTTGCCATTGACCTGTATTCTCTTTTTTTTTTGCTGCACAAATATTGACCTTTTTTTCTTTTTTTTTTTGGCTGCAATATTATTAGTATTATAATATTAATATTAATAATAATAATTATTATTATAATAGTAATAATAATAATAATAATTATGATAATAGTAACAATAATTAGTATTATTAATAACAATACATAAATAATTAATAATAACAATCGCAAGAGATGATATAAATTAGAAAAATGTTTCATGTATAGTACATAATTAGTAAGCTAAGGCTAGGATTGATGAAGTAGCTAGCTAGTAAACGATATTTACAAATTAAATGTGATGTAGGTCGCCAACATCTCCCGAATTTCACGGAGTTCCTCGCTCGTGTATGGCTGTCCCGTTTGCCCCTTGCAAAACTTAGAATACACAAAAAGTGAGTTAGTAGAAGTGAAGTAATAATAATTGGGGTTAGTTAAATGTGACTAATGCTTGAGATTACAAGAAAAGAGCAAGTAAGAGGTTTTGGGACGCAATTTCAACCAAAATGGCTCAAGTAAGGCCATTTTAGCTACTAGGATGCCTATTTTCGATAATTCTTGTCTATTGAACTCATAACTAGTTAAAACATGTCATTATCACTTAGTTATAGGTGACTAATGCTTGAGATTACAAGAAAAGAGAAAGTAAGAGGTTTTGGGATGCAATTTTAACCAAAATGGCTCAAGTCAGGCCATTTTGGCTACTATGATGCCTATTTTCTACAATTCATGTCTATTGAACTCATAACTAGTTAAAACATGTCATTATCACTTATTTATAGGTGACTAATGCTTGAGATTACAAGAAAAGAGCAAGTAAGAGGTTTTGGGATGCAATTTCAACCAAAATGGCTCAAGTAAGGCCATTTTGGCTACTATGATGCCTATTTTCTACAATTCTTGTCTATTGAACTTATTACTAGTTAAAACATGTCATTATCACTTATTTATAGGTAAATAATGCTTGAGATTACAAGAAAAGAGCAAGTAAGAGGTTTTGGGACGCAATTTCAACCAAAATGGCTCAAGTAAGGCCATTTTGGCTACTATGATGCCTATTTTCTACAATTTCTTTTCTATTGAACTCATAACTAGTTAAAACATGTCATTATCACTTATTTATAGGTGACTAATGCTTGAGATTAAAAGAAAAGAGCAAGTAAGAGGTTTTGGGACGTAATTTCAACCAAAATGGCTCAAGTAAGGCCATTTTGGCTACTATGATGCCTATTTTCTACAATTCATGTTTATTGAACTCATAACTAGTTAAAACATGTCATTATCACTTAGTTATAGGTGTCTAATGCTTGATATTACAAGAAAAGAGCAAGTAAGAGGTTTTGGGACGCAATTTCAACCAAAATGGCATACCTCTTCAAGCTGACGTGTGTCTGTACAATGACTCATCACTATGTCATACATGAATCTCATCATGTATAGGCCACAGTCAACTCCGTTTTCCTGTTGTGCGCACTAGCATGAGAAACAAAGCACATGAATCAAAATGCACAGAAAATAAGCAACATCTTAAGCATTGTAAATTAAGAAAATCACAACACCATGGGTGAATTACCTTGGGTGCTTTCCATGTAGGACCTCGAGGAGATCGAGGATTTATCTTCTTCATGGTACTACAAAAAATCAAAGTAATAAGTTCAAAATTTGACTAGTATAATCAATACATATGAGTTCAGATATGAAAATGAATAACAAGAAGTGAAACAAACTAGATGCTTACTTTTGCAGTATGGACTTCACGAGGCGCTTTCTTACTTGAGGTAACCGAGTAGAATCAAAGTAGAAGATTGTGTTACTGGAAACAAAAATCACAAGTAGGGTCCAATGATAACTACACACGAGACAAACAAATCAATAGTTAGCCTTACAACAAATAAACTGGGAAAACACATGAACTTGACTAGCATAACCAGACGTACTCCTCATAGTATGGGACGAATATAAACTTGTCTCCCGCACTCACTGATTGCCTGATACCCCGTTCAACATAGTACAACACGTCAGCGGAGTTTCCTACGATTCTAGCAGTGGACATCTGCTCAGGGCACAACCACCCAACTTGACAAGGAGATTCAAGCTCCCATATTTGCTCCTGGAGTGCTCTGCATGCATGATAACACAATGTTAATCGAAAACCAAATGACAAACACCACTAAACTGAATAACATAAATTGAGTACCAGTTGAATTACCTCATGGATATTTGAATGAGGGAAATGTTAAGCATTGCACCACTTAGAAATTCCTTGACATCTTCTTTGAATAGCCATGCCGTTGCATCATCATCGTAGTGGAACATTTCCTTAGGAAGTTGAATTCGGATGGGGCTGTCATTAGGCAACACGCAAACACGGTTGTGCAAATATGCTAACTCCTGGGATAGCGATTGAAGCACCGTGTCTTCAACTAATGGAGTAGCTTGCGTAGCTGAACCTCGTGAAGGGCTCTTCATCGACGCCTTTCCACTCACCGAGCCATGTTCACTCCCGTTCTTTGGCCCCTCCACCCTCTTCTTTGGAGTTTGGCTTTTCCTCGATGGCTAATAAGACAAATCATACAAATGGTTAGAAAATATTTCCATCCAACTCTTGGGAAAAAAAAGATTAAAGCGTGAAATCTAAATCTTAATTACCTGGTTCATCAACCGTATCCAAGCAGATGGCCATTGCACAAAACTACCTTTTGCTGCCCAGAGTGTAGTGAACTCATCCTCCTCCACGGGCACAGGTATTAAGATGTCCTCGAACCCGGGAACCACAGAATGGATCCCGACAGAATAATGCTCAGGCAGAAGAGGTCGAAGATGGACTGTACCTTGTTCGGCCGGTTGTGCACTACCATAGGCAACAACATTCAAAGGTCCATCATATGATTCGCCCGGGTGAAGAAGTTCACAACGGGTCTCTTCCTGCACCAATTAGGAAGATACTTCATTTAAATATTCATAACTAAGTATCTTAGGTGTAATATAGGAGTTAAATCAAGCATTGAGCTAAAATCATGAAAAATGGGCAAGTTAGAACTCATTTAGGCCATTTCGAGCCGTAAATACTCTAAATGAACCTAAAACTTGTGAAATTTCTTTTTTTAGGTTGTTTCATGCCATAAATATTCATAACTAAGTATCTTAGGTGTAATATAGGAGTTAAATCAAGCATTGAGCTAAAATCATGAAAAATGGGCAAGTTAGAACTCATTTAGGCCATTTCGAGCCGTAAATACTCTAAATGAACCTAAAACTTGTGAAATTGCTTTTTTTGAACCGTATCAAGCCATAAATATTGATAACTAAGTATCTTAGGTGCTAGTTAAAAAAAAAAAAAAAAAACCCGAGCGCGAAGTGCAGCTGCAGCCTCTCCTACCTTCTCGGCTTCCCAATGAGAAAGAGAAGGAGAAGGAGAAGGAGAAGGAGAAGGAAAAAGATAAGGAGAAGGAGAAGAAAGAGAAGGAGGAGGAGGAGAAGGAGAAGGAGAAGGAGAAAGAGAAGGAGAAGGAGAAGAAAGAGAAGGAGGAGGAGGAGAAGGAGAAGGAGAAGGAGAAAGAGAAGGAGAAGGAGAAGGAGAAAGAGAAGGAGAAGGAGAAGAAAGAGAAGGAGGAGGAGGAGGAGGAGAAGGAGAAGGAAGAGCAAACAACAACAACACATCACATCAACAAAGCATACTGACAACACAACACAGCGAACTTGACCATTTCACAGCCAACTTAACCATTTCACAACACAATCCAAAAACAAATATCATTATCCAAACAAGTAAGTATAAAATCACCTGCAGAATAGGAAAGTGATGAGGTGTCGGAGTATCAAGCCCCCTTGAGTTCGCATGTGAAGGAGTACCAATCTGCAATAGTGTATTGATAGTGAAACATTAATTAGAACCGTACCCACGTAACTCAACATATCAAAACTGATAGAGTTGAATTCTAATCATGTACCTCCTCGCGTGCATTTATCTCATGTTCTCCTTCTCTTCGTGGGTGGCTACTTAAGTTGTCCGGTGTTGTCGAGGAAAAGGGCAAGGTTGGAAAATTCATTTGCTTCGCCCATGCATTGAACTCTTCACGCATCTCATTGCGCACTTGTTCTTTAATTGATGCCACTATGGCATCGAAGTTCTGTGGCGAGTTCACACTTGCTCGGGATCTTCCATATTTGATATATTCGGGACCCATTACCTTCTCCCATCCTAGCAAGCTCCCCCCAGCACCTAATACCCGTCCCGGATGGTAGGGCTTTCCCATAGCCAAGGTGAAGGGGTCCTTCTCTACCGTCGGGACGAGTTTGCCTTCAACAAGCTCTCCAGTGTACTCAAGCTGTAGCAAAAACAAAATGGCAACATGAAGTAAGTGTTTATATAAAGTGATATACATGCAAATGAATAATGTAGTTCACTAGTTCATAGTTGCTTACGAGCTTATCTGTCATTTCTTTGGTTTCCGGAGCCTTGATGGACCATTTTCCGGTTTTCTTGTCCCGCGAATGCATAGAGCAAAAGAAATCCCCAGCACGACTCACCAAAGTACTGGTCGTGGAGTCAGACGGCGCTGTGGAGGACCCTAGAAGCGTAGTGGGGTATACTCCTTCACTCACCCACGTATCCCTCCATTCATCATACGTCATTGCTCCCATATGATGGCGGTATTGCTTTTGCAATGCATTCTTGGAATTCTGCTCCGTCATTTCCTACATAAAAAGACATGTTAGTTTCATTTCTAATAAAAAAAGACGATAAATTACAACACAATTTTCATCAGAGTTCTTTAAACTTACAATTTCTTCTTTTTTACATTTTTGAAGAACGAAAGCGTCCCAATCATCCTTCGATATGTTAGGCCATATTTTCCATGGGAGTTTCTCTTCATCGATGACATCATCATCACTGCCACCTCCTTTCTTGTTCTTTGGTTTCCTCACAAGTTTCTTTGTGATAAACCGACGAACTAAGTTACACTTGAAGCTTCTGAATCTAGCCGCAAGTAAGGATTCAAACACCCTTCGCTTGGCGTACTCATTTAGAATGTTAAATAGACTCTGCAAGCACAAATAACAAACATTATTAGTTTGCCCATAACATAACAATAAATTAAAATTGTTTATAAATAATGTGGAATCCATAAACTTTACCCTGGTATCATTCCAAAACGTGTCAATCAAGCCTGTAGACACGTCGCTCATACGAAACGTAATGGGGATTTTGCGCGCACATATCCCAACTTGACCAGCATACTGACGCCGCAATTTACCTGAGGGTTGCCCTACCCTTTCATACTCAAAGACCATAGGACCGACAGGTTTCTTGAAAGCTGTCGTCGGACCCCTCTGCTTTTTCTTCGCTGGTGCCTGCACCCCCCCTCCACTTTGATCCTCACGAAACGGCTCCATAATGGCATTATCGATTGGAGGCGCTTGCTCAGCTGCAATTTCAAACTCATCTATCATTCTCTCTAATACATCTTGCGCCTGATCTTCTGGCTCACCCAAATTAGTTTCCTTGTTCACATCATACGGCTGGTCCCCATCATTAGATGAATCATCTGAATGAGATTCAACATCCTCAACTCGAACACGGTATCGATCTTCCGCCATTAGATGTTAAAACTTGTCATTACAAACATAACACGTTATTAGCTGCTGAATTGTAAGGTAAACTTATAATCATATATAAATTGCTGAATTATAATACAAATAAACATAGAAACGGTGATGCAAGTTACTTTATTCATTTAAAAGAATATAAGAAAAATGGGCAAGTAATTCAACAATTTCATTCATTTTCACCTAAAATGTGATTTTTTAATTTTTTCTACGCCCGCAATTAAAACTAACAGAAAATATACAGTACCTCAATCTAATATTCCTTCATCATGGTCTGATCTCATGTAATTGGCTTGGTTGTCTTTCTCATTTGGATCAGCAGGTCTAGGAACAGTGAAAGGTGCCGAGTCATCAAAGGCATCATATTCTTCCTCATCCTCAACATCTCCAATGCCAAGGATTCTTCTTTTGCCGGCTAGCACAATAGACCATTTTGAGTCGGCAGGGTCAGATACGTAAAACACCTGCTTAGCTTGAGATGCAAGGATGAATGGTTCTGCACTATCATTCAGGTTTCCAAGATCTACAAGAGTAAAGTCATCAAATTTGACGTTACGCTTGATATTATCAACCCACTTACACCGGAAAAGAGCAATCGTGAAGTCACAATAATCAAGCTCCCATATTTCTTGAATTCGACCGTAGTATGACAACTCTGCACCAACAGGTGATTTATCCTTAGCACTTGCAAACTCCCTTGACGATGCCACAACCGTTACACCACTGTTTTGGGTCGAGGATGATTTCAAATCTTGACGCTCAGTCCAAAATGTGAACCCATTTATGTCATATCCCTCAAATGAGCGAACATCATCCCTAGGACCATAAGCAAGCCACCTTACTATAGCTGTGACACTCTCATCCATTCCACCCATCACGCGATCACGAAACCAACTCACAAACTTCTTGTTGTGCAACTGCATCAGTGCCCTTTCACCTTTCGACGGAAACTCATCACGCAAACTAGCCATGTGCTCGTCTA